ACAGAGAGGATGATTTGGAGAATTGTACAATTATGATGGGTCTAGACAGTTTAAAATGATTGACTTGCTATTGGTTGGAATACTGTTCTGTCCTGAAGACCTTCTGGTGGTTGTTTGCAAAATAAATTCCCTAGAGGAACAATTCTTAATATCTAAAAGCTCATATGCTGTTTCTTTTAATACAAATACTCAAAGAAGAAGTAATGTATAGAAAAGGAGTGATCTGTCTAGGTATGTTGGAGATCCTTAAAAGATGAAAGAAAAGGGAATCAAATAGTTAATTTTCTAAACAGATATATAGCAATTAAAACTTATTTCCGAAATTATCATTCTTATTTAACAAAAAAACCTGCACAGTGACAGTATCTTTGGAATTATTTCAATGTTCTTAAAACAGAAAGGCACAAATATTTATAGTTATTTTAAGTTCAAAAGCATGCCCCTGTATTTGCTCTAATGTAAATATAGACAGAATATCTTTTTCCATATTTTTAGTTTTCTGAGGTTGTTTTAATTGAATTAATATTTCCCACCAGCCAGTAAACTGAAAATAAGAAAAAGTTGAAGAATAAATATCTATTTGTTTTTATATACTAGTGAAACAAGACTGAACAGCAAATACTTTCTACAGAGGTTGCATTGGATTAGCTACAGAGGATGACAGTACCGAAACTGATTTTTATAGTGCTGAGCTGACCCTTATAAGTGGCTTAATAGCAGTACTAAAACCACAAGGCATTTACAGACCATGCCCTATGTTGTATGGCATCCCTGCTCCACTAACTGAAGAAAGCACCTAATTTTTCATATTCATTCAGTTCCTTAGTGCTTGTCTGCTCTGAATCATAAGCATAAAACTATGATGTATTCTAACCATGCTGACTAGATTCTAAGTTCAGATTGTAAATTACCCTGGGTACACTGAGAATCAATGAAAGTGTTGCTAGTGAAGTCACTACAGCACTTTTTGTATTATATATATGTATGTTCACTGACAATAAAGCTTTTATGTGAAATAAAATTTCATTGATAATTAGAAGTAGATTAATTTGGATAAATATAAACCTGACATTCTACCCATACCATTAATGTTCATGAAGTTCATTTCTAAACAAGTCTAACTTGGGGAAAGTTTTTTCTTGCATTTTTTTTCCCCATCAAATTTCACTTGAAAGAACCCGGATTATTTCAGTGAGCATGGCAAGATAAGCTTTTGAGCTTCTGGTTAGTCTTGCAAAGAATATTCAGACATCAGTGTTTATTAGAACTGAGGTTTCTCCGTCTGAACTGTCTCTTGTCCTCCTGACTAGAAAATTGGGACGAAATAGAAATATTGAGAGAATCTTGCTTTCAGTCTGATTCAACTGAAAGTAGCAAGAGTTGTTTAGAGAACTGTGACTTCTCATGTCAAAAAATATGTAAAGTAAATCAAACCAACCCATCTTGAGTGTTCCATGTATAGACTATATCCTAAATATATTCATTTTTATTGGCAGAAGGTGGTGAGAGTGCTCTCAAATTTTATTTCTACACATGGAAACAAAAGAGGTTAGGAATAGAGCACAAAACAGTTCCAGGGAAGATGCCTTAAGTATGGATTGGATGCAATATGTTTCTAATTATATTTAACCTGATGGTACTTGAGTCCTTCTTCTGCTGTATTTTCATATATTCTGATTACCCGGCTTTCAGAAGGACTTTCCCTGATACTGGCTAAGTGAGAAATCCTAAATAAATCAAGAAAAAGTCTGGTCTTAGGTTTGGGGTTTTTTATGTGATGTTTTTTTAAAGGCAATTGGAGCTTGATTGATTCTATTTATAGCTTTCTTCTATGAGTGAGCTGCAATCAAGGATTTCTTTCAAGATGTTTTTCTTCAACTTTATTCCACTTCTCTCTAAGAAGGTGAGGCACTAGTTCAGGCTTATGTGGAGAGGAACCTGAGAGCACTTCAGCTGATGCTTTTAAACTGAGGGGATTCTGGATTTTCAGAAGAGAAAGTGAAACAAAGGCTGATTCTCTGTCCTCTGCATAGGCTAGCTCAAATAATGTTAAAATTTGTCTTGAGTGAAACATCATGAGAAACTTGTGGTAGCTTAGTATATGCTACGAGTGTCATGCTGGTTGCTGAATTCTACTTCTTAGGGGAAAAAAAAAAAAAGAGCTGCTGAGGGAATAACTCCAATTATTTCCATGTCAGTTGAGTATATGCCTCCAGAGTGAACATATTACCAGCTTACTTGTATCTCAGTCAAACTCTTTTTTGATTTTTTTTTTTTTTTTTTTAACACAAGTCTGACAGTTACAGGAGCTACAAGCTAAAACTTCTGTGACTAAAAGTGTGGGGTATTTTCCTCATGTATAAGAGATCACTGAGATGTTGAGCTGCTTATTGAAAATTGGAAAAAGGGAGCTGTTCCCCAGGTCGAAAGCCTGCCAGGTAACTTTGTTGACTGCCTTTTGCTAACAGCAGGAATTAAGACAAGAGAATTTAAAATACTTGTTGTCTTGACATTGTAGCTAATCCAAGCAGCAAATCCATTTTCCTCAGAGAATGATATACCGAGCTATGAACAAAATAACTATGTTTACTTGCCCTTTTTCTTGTCTTGAAAAGATTTCTTTCCAGTTTCATGGAAGTCTCTCACACTTTTTTGCCTTTTTATAGCTTTTGAATAAATTACAAGGAAAGAGCTTCTGTACTGGATTTATCAATCCAGTACAGAAACACAGTTTCTCAGAATTCTGTGTTTAAAAATAGTGTCATGATATATCATAGTTTCTGATTGATTGTCAGGGTTTTTTTCAGCTCTAATCTTTCGCAAAAATATTAGCAATATAAATCTTTAATGTTATTTTGTTTATGCACTGATATAATTAATTTTTTACTGACATAAACTTAGCCTGGTGAGGGATGCTTATTGGAAATCGCTGTATTGAAAAAGGACAGTATGTGAAATATATCTTTTTTATTACAGCAGCATCTAGAGGATTCATCTGAAATTTTATTTCCTCTGCTAAACACTGTATGAACACACAGTGATATACAGTACCTGCCCACCCCCCATGCAAAAAATCCCAAAAAACCCAAACAAACCACCAATACCTGAATACAGGCAACATGCTCAAATTAAAATCAACACATTTTGGTGGTGCATAAAAATAAATGTAAGATTTGGAGACAACAACATTTTATTTATAAAAAACATAGAGCCTTTTTCTGAGAAGTATATTCACTATTCAGTCAAAGAACCAACGCCAAAAGCTGGTTCAGCTGCCAAGTTTTTCAGACAAGGTTTCTGACTGGTTTACCATTTCCGAATTGCAAGGGCTTTAAGGTTGCTATCTCATACAGAGCTTTTCATTTGGGCAACAATGTTTTAGTTAACTATTTTTAAGAACCATAATGTTCATGCAAAAAACAACTTTTCCCAACTTTAGGATTCGAGTAAGAGCTTTGTTCTGTTATCGGCTGAGACTGCAGGCAGTGACTATCGAGCTGATAAATTGGATAGATGTGGAAATAATGGTTCACTAGAACTTTTGTCTCTATTAGAGTAATTCATAAGAATCATCTTAAGACATTTGGGAATTAATGCGGAGATTAAGGACAGCTGGTTTCAAAAACTTCTTAGAGAGTGAAACTAAAATTTATCTTTACGTTGTAAAAAGAGCTATGGAATTAAATTATGTCATCCACCACTTGAATGGTGGATGACATTCAAGTTAGTCATGTAGTTGTAAGAGTAGCATAGCTGGGTATTAGAGCAGTGCATGTGTGTACATTCAGTGCACCTAAACCATAAATTTCTTGGTTGGTGCAGAATGTCCCTTAGTCATCTGTCTGCAGAGATGAGGAAGTAGACAGACTTGAAAGAACAAACCTAGCTGAGCAATGGAATTGAAAGAACTGGTTAGCATTTGGCTAACTGGTGTAGGAATCTCAGGTTCTCCTGGAGATCCCATAGGCAGCTTCTCCTATTCTTATGCTGATTTTCCATGTGTCAGTTAAGAACCTGGCAATGTCATGGAAGACTATTCAGGTAGTTCTTGCAGCAGAACTGAGCAGGTTGTGCCTACGTAAAATACTTTGAAATAGAAAGGGACATAGAAACTGTTCCTGCAGGTGTGAAAAGTTGTATAGTGCAGTCTTTTGTACATAGTGAAAACACGAGGGTGGTATTTTGTGCATCATTTATGTTAATCAATAGCAATGGATCATGCATATGCTGGATGCCCATGTAAAGCCACGGGCCAACAGTATTTTTCAGTAAGATTTCAGCAAAACAAGTTTCCCACTGAAGGTGCTGTTGCAAGTATCCGTACAACAGAGACCTTAGTTGCCAGGCAGAAAGCAGCCATCATGTTTGAGAGACTATATTCCTAAAGTCAAAACTAATAAATTGGTTTTCTTGAACAGTCACTCTCTCTGCTATATGTCTCTGTCCAACAGAATCAAGTAAAGTTACAACTGGAGTATCTGCTTCAGTGTGAAAGTTGCAATCATTATCCATAGAGGCAAAATAAAAAATTTGGAACAGCACAGAAAGAAAATGTTAAATGGATAAAACCCTACAGGAACTACAAACATTTGTCTTTCTCTAGGTTTCCCAAGAGTAGGTCACAGTGTATAGTTATAGGTAAAGGAGTAGAAGTATGTATTGAGTGTATAGATTCAATTTGCAAAAATCTCATTATGCATCATCAGAAATGAAATTTTGTTAGTTTAAGACTTGAAAGGGGTGCAAGGATAGAGATAAGACTTCACACTGTATAGTTACCCAATAGATTGTTGTGAGGGCATCACATGAACAACCAAGATGCTGTAGGTAATCACGTAGATGGATTTTATTTGTGATTGTGATAATGAAAGGAATTACTTCCCAATGTAATTTTAATTTACACATTCAGAAAGAAAAATAGAAACTTAATCATTTTATGTTGCGAGAAACATTACTGTTCAATTGGTAATTGTTCTAATTCTGAAATTAATTTGCATTACCTGGATTTGGTTTTCCAGTTTGATATTGCCTTGAATTGAAAAACCTGGAATTTAAACACACGTTAAAAAAGTCACGCTCTCTAGGTTAACAAAGACTAGGCAGTAATACTGGCCATCAGTTTTTGTGCTGAAAATGGATGTGCCAGATCCTCAGGTACATGTATGCAACAGGACTATACCTATTTTATTGACAGAGGGTTTGTCTGACAGTCCAACAAAATTCATGTCACTAAACAATTCCCTTGTTCATCTTTAGCAAACATTTAACAAACTGATTAGTTAACTGATGACATTCACATATTTCCCAAAAAGGACCTCTCTACCAAATTTGCCATAGTTCTGATTATTCATAAATAATATTGATTAAAATACTTAGATTAAAGTCAGAGTAAAAGAAGTCCTAAGGCAATTTAGTGTTTTACCTGATTAACCTAGTATTAATCAGGATTTATTTTTCATTCTTTTAGCACTTTAGGAGTGGTGTGCTTTTACTGGTTCAAAAAAGCATGTTCCTGATCAATGTGCAAAACATTTGATTTTTCTTTTTTTTCCTTTTTTTTTTAAAATCTGATTTAATGAGTTTGGGGCATACAAAAAAACTTGTAGAGCAGCAACTAACTTCTAACAAGTCCATGTAAAACGCAGCATAAACGGTAAATTAACTAAGTAAGTCACAGACTGATGAAGATCTACCAGGTAATTTTAACCATTTTTTAAAAAAATTACAAATAAAAAACCTTACTCTTTAATTATTGGTATAAGTTGAATGCCGAGATCTTCACAGTGAAACCATTTTTCAAAGAGGACATTAGTTGATTCTCCAACATAGTATCTGCCAAAGCAAACACATTAGTCAATCCTTTTATTAACTTAACTCATCAGGCAGTTTCAGTCTTTTGAAGAAAATAGTTACTTGATGTTATGTAAGAGCATGGGCTGATAAGAAAGCAAAGTGGCTTATGGACTTGTTTGTGATAAATAGGTGGTTTTCAGCTGCATAGATTTGGGAAGTGTTTAGCTCAGCCCTCTGAAGAGGAACTTAGTGCTTCACTTGTATTATTTTATGTCTTAACAAATAAATTGTGGTGAGATCAACAGGTCATCATATGTAATGTATGGCATGACAAATATATAATTTATATTCAGATTTTAAAAAGACTGCATGGGCTGGCAAGGAGTGATGGGCTCCAGTACTGTCACTCACATCATGACTGGTTTTAAAAAGGTCCTCTGTGTCTTTTGGGTTAAAGTTACTGCGATGAGTTTCCAAAGTGGGCAACAAGGCTTATAGAATTATGCTGTGCATATTTGTATGTTCATATATGTCTGTCTTATGTATCTATATACATATTGTCCAGAAATTCTCAAAGAGCTCCCTGGCTCCTCAAGTTTTGCAAGAACAGGGTATGCTGAAGAGAATAACATTATCTATGCCTCCAATATGGGGAAAAACTGTGCTACAAGCACAAATTTTGAACACACAGAATCTACAGAGAAGGGAGATACTACAAATGTCTTTTTTGGTAAAAAGCTTTACAGCTGGGAAGGTGCAAAGGATCCAACAATATGAGTAACATCAAATTTAGGGTTTTTTGTACTTGTTCGCCATGGGATTAAGATTAGCTAAATAATTTTTCTTATAGCACAAGGCACGGAATCATTACTTATGCTGAAACACTGGGGCAGGCTACTTATTCTTTACTTGTATAGTAATCAGCATGCTGAGGGCTCTGATTCATGACTTAGTCCTGAAGTATGATAAATAGTGGAACAGTAACGTAATATTAGACCTTGAGTCAGCATACTTCAAAGTTCATTATGACTTCCTCTTGTACAGTCTTAGCTTCAGGTGGCTGGGAGTGAAAAAAGTTTGAGAAGATTAGAGGTTCTGGTTGTAAACTTCCATCTCTCTCAGGAGCACACAGAGTCAATGTAGGTTTAAAAGCATAACAAGATCACTTCCAAAACTTCAGGTGTCTTTTTTTCATATCAGTGTAAAAACACAGGCACTGAAACCCTCGAAGTCATCTTTTTGCAGGCACGTGATTGATATTTTTAATTGAGAATGTGCTTTGTTAATTTCCACCTGCAAACCATATGGTAGCTTTTAGTTTAATATCTCCACAGGAGCATGCCTACATGGGAGTGCCAATCTCTAGATCTGCCTGGAATCCCTAAAAAGCTATTCAGCATTTCTCTAACTCATAAAATTCACAGACCTCATGTACACAGTAGATTGTTTTACTTAAAGTTACCTAAAGCTACTTACATTCCTTTATTACATTAATAATAAACATTGTTATCTGAATCACTGGCCAGTTGTTTCTGGCTCACAATATCTTTTTATAATCTAAGTCCTCACAATCCACAGATGCAATGAAAAGAAAAAAGGGACAACTGTATAGATAAACAATGTTTTAAATGAACTGGACTTGTATTTAGCTTGGAATTTAATAGGGTGAGGTTTTTTTTGAATGGTCTCTTAGTTTCTTATTTCTTTCTGTAACCTTTTTCATTTGAATGAAAAAGTATGTCTTTCTAGCCCTGCATATCTGCAATCTTCCTGCTGTGACACTACCTATGCAACAATCAAAACTGTAGGCGAAATGACAGAAACAGTTCATTACAGGTATCGCTGCAGTTTTAAATCTTTACAAATTACATGAACAGCTGTAAACTCTACTTGGTCAGTCATATCTGGTTAATACTGAAACAGCTTTTCTAGGTTGGCTAATGTTACTGCTAATGTTACTGCTGTGACTTCCCTTAGATTTGTGAATTCTCTATGACCAGAACGCTTAATCCTGCTCCTAACTAGAATACAAAGTAACCCACTCCCTTACATGGAGATTATGCTCTTGTAAGGCAATAAAAGCTAGGCAGATGTGTGTATAATGTAGAGGGATTAGTGTTAAGAAAACTGACTTTTGTTTCCAGCTTCCCACACAGGTGCCAAGAAAGCTGCTCTTCATCTTTTTGCTTTCAGTGCTTGCAAAGTAACTAATATTCTGCTTGCCAGAGTTAATAAAAAAATCTTTTTTCATTTGTGTTATTAGTGAGCTCTGAGATTTTTTTAAAAGCTAAGGTGATAGCAGTAGGCAGTACATAAGTCGATAGCTATAACCAGAACACACAATTAAGACATTTCAACATGTTCCTTGTTTAACTAAATCAAATGCTAAATAAGATCTCTGTTTACGTGTATACAGATAAATAGATGTGTGGATAGAATTAGTATAAAATTGTCGGGAGAATCTGATATATCATCAGGAAAGTAAAAGACAGTATTTTATTGACAGGGGAAATTAGTTTATATTATGAATCCTAACATATTAGTCAACAGTTTATACTTCACCTTAGCCCATCAATTTCTGTTTTTAGTCTTTCCCTTTCAATCACAAGACCCACAGTGTTTGCATATCTCTGAGGAGAATGAGGTATCCTGGCAGGTAGGAGGAACATCTGTTCAAAGAAATGGGAAAGAATCAGTACAGGAAATCTTTGTTTTTCGCATTGTCCTTCCCCTGCCCCCAAACCTGCAAAATCTTCTGCTCCTTGCCCCACTTCTTCTCCTCTACTCTTTGTTGATCTTGTGTTGCTCCTTTGCAGCTTTACACACTTTGGTACCCAAGCCCTGCAGACACTGTTTCTTGCTTTCTGTGTGAATGATGACACAGTGACTCTGCAATCAGCACTGCCTTTATGGCAGTCAAGTTCTCTCCTCCTGATTTGATCATCATTCTTAGTCACAATTGAAGTGAAAATCTAACCAACCACTCATCTGGAAATTATAAATTAGTGCAATTTCTGAGTAACTGAAATGGAAATAAAAAGCAAGTTTTTGTCTAAACTAATAATCCGTGTGTACCCTTCCAACACAGTGAGCACCTGTGATTGCCTGATGAGGAGTGTTATTCTCCCCAGAAATAATTAACAAACATGAGGACTATTTATTCATGCAAGTGACAAAGGGAATAGGCAACATGTGGTTAGAAGTCTATTACTGAAGCTTGAGAAGAAGTGCTTTTTTAGCAGCTGTCTGACTGTGTAGGAAGGTGGTAAGCCTACACAGTGTTCTTCAGTGCTACAGATGTCTTTGCCAAGGGTGGGCAAGTCATTACAGTTTCTCTGTCTACAAAACAGAGCTAATGACAGTCCCTCACCAGTACTAGCGTCGTCTTTCCAGTAAAGATATTGTGTGCTCCTTTTCAATAATGCTTATGCTACATGCCAAGATCTCAGCTGGGTGTGCTTCTTCAGTCTGAAGTATATTACCAGAATCTCACAGTTTGAAAATGTAGTTCTGTGTCTTAATTGAAAAAGTTGTAATACTTTTATGACCTCAAGCTGTTGGGTTTAATACATGCCTTCCATTTTAAGGGCTGTCCCGACTAGAACTAATAATCCTTTCAAAGACTCGAGTGCAGTTCGAACTTGTGTCAATAGCAATGAGCGGCAGTTGTAGTATGTCTTACTTGTAGTAACACCAAGGAAAGCATCTACTCATGCTCTCAGTAAAAGCACTACAATCTATGCTTTAGCAAGTTTACTACAAGGAAAAATTGGATACATTTTATCCATAAATGTCTCTTTTAAAACTATTTTCGTATTGTGATGGTTGTAAAGGCTAGCTGTGAGGACTAAAGGAGGCTGAAAACAGCTGAACCGTTTAAATTTCTAAGTTTAGGCATTTTGCTTACTGGCATGTGGGTGTGTGTGCAGTATGTACCTAGCATTGTGTAAATAAATACTGATCCGCTTGAATTCACATGGAAGATTACATGGCATGCAGGGGAATAAGAACTTCTCTCAGTATATTCCTGACTATCTGAATAGGTATTCCAGATACTTAGAAATATTTTTATCTGTTATTGAAATAGTGAAATGTTGAACGCAGTGTGTTGTAGTTTGCTGTTAATGACATGGAATTTTCTATGCGCCATTCAAATTTGTTTTGTTTTGTTTTTTTTTTTTAAATCCTGATGCCATCTCTTGCACTGCAGGGATAAACTGATTTCTAAATACTACATAAAATATTAATTTAGCATACTTATGTATAACTATAATAGAAAGACAATCCTATTTTACCTCCCCTTCTCGGATGATAACATCTTTTTGTTTCCCATTTTCAATTATCTTCAAACACATATCTCCTTGAACCTGGTAAAAAAGCTAAAGGAATAGAAAAATAATATTAAGGCATCTACTCCAAAACATTCTGTACTTCATATTCTGTAAATAAGAGATACACATATAAATAAATTAAATCTGTAATTGCAAATATTTGCAGATTTTATCTAACAAGAAATAACACACTACCAACATTCGTTACTTTTGCAAATGTTACTAAATATGTATTATGTCTGTTATCTTACTAACAACTGACAATCTATCCAAGAGGTCTGTAGCTGCATGAAGCTACATATATACTAGGTTCTGTGAACCTAGTGGAATTCCATTGAACTGATTTTACCCTTGGAATTACTTCTTGTAGAGGTTGATATTATGGTTCAGGCATTTGTTAATTACATGATACATAAAGCTTCGTTTCAGATGTAGCAGGGTCTTCATTTACTCAAATTAAATGTCACTTTTCCAAATAAGCCCCAGATATGAATGCACAGATTTTTTGGGATGCTTTTTCAATTTTTTTAATGGAGCTTTCTCATTTGGGAAGAAGTGCCCATTTGGAAGCTGTTCTGCTATTTTTGTGGATAACTTCGAAGCCCAGCAACAGCTCCTACTCTTCCCATTGTGTATGTGAAAGGGTTACATTCAAAGTATGTATAAGGACAGAACCACTGAACCCATAATTCTGTCTTCAGTGATCTTTCCACAGCTGTTTTCAGATTAAAACCAGCTCTGGTTTGTGGGGCCTCTAAGGTGCTCAGATCTAGCCTCATGTTTCATGACAGAACTGTGCTATGATCTGTAGGTGGGTATCTTTGACCTGACATTTTCCCCTAATTTTTATATAGTACAGAGCAATAATGCTTCCCGAAGTCAACTTTTCTGCCATGTTTCTGTCTGTTTTCCATGTATCATTTACTGTATCTAGAACCTAAACAGATTAAGTCATATAATTGCTAGTACAGCTGAAAAAGTCTGAAACTTGATTCAAAGTTAGAATTATAATAAGAAAAACCTTATTTATATTAATTCACTACAATTTTAACAAAAATATAAAATAGATGAGGGAAAGAAGAAACAGCTGAAATACACAAACACCCAGAACTGAACCTTTTCCAACACTAGAAAAGCTTAATCAATTTTTCAATTGTGTTTATTTCTACAAGAGTTTTGAAATATTAATACATGCTACCTGGAATTGAAGAAACACCTCTGTGAACATGAGAAAGAATGAATATGCTGCCAAGGGAAAGAAACAATAGAGAGAATTGAAGAGCTACTGGAAAAGAGCTCATGCTGAGAGCTCTTACACGAGTGAAAAGTTCACCTTGTGCCAGGGATGTCACCACAGATAAATTACAACTCTTGTCTAGATGGCCACAGTGCCAAGGTTACATATCCTCCTTGCACTCCATTTCTCTGTGTTCTCTTCCTGTCATTTTCTTTGGTGTTACCAAATGACAGTACAAAATGCTGTAGCAGCCCTTGTTACAGAGGTTTAGAGTGTTACCTTCCCTATAACAACTGAGGGAGCTATTGCTGAACACGTGTAGGACGTGTAGATGAGGGAAAGGACAACAGAAGCAGAGTCTATCCTGCTTGTAACATAAATCATGCAGCTGAGCAACTTTTCTGGAAACGAAAGACTTGAGAGGGGATAGGGGCTGTCCAGTTCAGAAATCAAGCATCACAGTTATAAGGAGAGATTACGAACACTAAATTATGAATTAAAATAAATGTTTTGCAGCGGGAAAAGAGGAATGATGTGGGCTATACATTTTCAATGAAAGTGTTTTTCTGACTGAATTTAAATACTACCTTTCACTGTAAAATATGGTCTATTATTCAAAACATTTTTTTTAAATTACCTGAGTGCTTCAGTCATCCATAAATCACATGATGTAACTGTGATTAATACAAGTGGCAATAATTACTGAATCTACTATGTTGCTTATAATATAACCTGACCCTTTTATCAAGAAAACTGTCAACTATGTAATATCTCAGTGAGTTACAGTCCATGCCCATTTCACAGGACAGTTTGGCAATACAGTACTGTCTTTTTGCTGGAAAGTTATGTTTTCTAAATACTGACTGAGCTTTGTCTTTTGGGCAAATCTAATGTTTTCCTAAGTCTCTCCTGGAAAAATGTCAAAGCCTGAGTAAAAACTTTCTGTTGTATATGTATGTATATAAACAAATATATATGTCTTTATAGATAGAATAGTAAATCAATAGGTTTATGCCACCTGAAAATATAAGCTTTTCCAATTGTTCTGTTCTTATGGGAATTGTGTAGTATCCACTCTCTGCAGTAGTACCAAAAAGTGAGAAAAAGTGCAATATTTCCACTCCATAAGCACCTTATTAATGACAAGATCTCTTGTAACATGAAATATATTAATATCCTCATAGAAAAACCCAGATTTGTATATTGCTACTGCACAATGGGTCATAACTGGGTATGTATTTGTCTTTCTGAGTGAAAAATATATTTTAAGAGAGAAACAAAGATTGTTCACTAGTCTTTTTATCCTTTTTATTACTAACTGTGCTTATTTATTATTACATCTTCTTCCTTTCTTCCTTTTATTTTCCAAGTTTTTTGCCTTTTGTTTAGTTTTCCTGCTTATTATGTGGTGCCTTCTCATTAAGATTACACCAAAAACACCTCCTCTTAATTCTCACCTTACCTCCAGAAGTTATGAGCTACCTCAACATGCTTAACTGTAAATGTAACATTATTTAATAATATTCCTCAATATGATTATTAAAGCTGCAGATATACCTATGAAAACTAAACTGAAAACACCTTAAGACTGAGAGTTTGTTTTTAGACTTATTTAATTTTCCTTAAATTCTCTTCCTTAGTCTGCTTCACCCTTCTTGATCATGCTTCAAACCTGATAATATTGTGTTAAGCTTGCAGGTGAAGGCAGCATGACCAGTGCTGAATCACTCTCAAGTCTGTACAGGAATATTTCATTCAATTATGAATACTCATAAAATAAATTATGCTGGCATTTCTGGAGACATCAGGGGGAGATGCACAAAGATGAGAGTTCACTGTTGGCTTCACTGAACCTGCTTGTCTTGGTAGGAATTAATTTCAACAGCATGGTAAAACATGTATACTACCTTAAAAAGAGCACTATTATCCCCACCATAGTAACGTGGTGAGAATTGCTCCTTCATCCAGATATGTGTGTCCTAGCAGAGTAAAGAAGGAAGCATCTAGTAGGGAAAGAATACAGTATTTATGATTGATCTGTGTTTGCTAATTTAAAAAAAAACAAAACCACAAACCCAAGTCTTTTTTTATGTACAGCAATGTATGTAATTTAATTTAGCTCCACCTTTGATATCAAACTCTGCCTAAGCACAGGAGCCCAGAGCTATGTGAGGGCTTTTGTAGCTGACAGCTTATTTACAGACCTCTAAAGAGACCTGCAATTTGCAGTGTACTCTGAGTACTGACTTCTGAAAGTGGACTTTGGGATTGCTCAACCACTTCTGGGATTAGGCACTGACTTGGCATATCCTGGCTTATATTGCTTGTCATATTGCTAAGTACTAAATTAATTTGCAGAGCAAATCAAATTCTGATGTGGGAGTAGAGCCTGGGTGTTCTCCAGACTTCAGTGGTGACTGATCTATTTAAGCACAGAAAAACAATTTTCTCCCTCTCTCATCACAAGGGTTTTTCAGCCATCAGAAGTCTGGAAGGCAAACAGATGAGGAAGGTAGAGAAAACTATTTTGGTGTGGGTTTTTTTCCCCTCTGCTAATTTACATGTCATCTGTGAAACCTGAATACTAGCCGAACCCCATCCCAACAATCTTACGCAGCAGACTTATTTTTGAAGACATAATCTCCTTCTGATGCAAAAGGATGATCACTCTTACTACCTTGTAATCTGTTTGTTTCTTATTCAAATAGTCCAAGAGTCTTCACCAGATAAATGTGGGATTTTGTAAGGTAAAGAAGCAAAAATATTTTTCTTGTTTTGTTGTGACTCATGTTTCAGATTTATTTGGGATATAATCACCACAAAACTACCCACTGGAATGCTCACCTAGACCCTCTTTCCCCTCGTTTTCAGACATCTACTCTCCTCATAAAATGCAAAGGGTGGACTGATCTGATAGGGAGGAGTTTCTCAGAAGCATTCAGATTAGAAAGCAGCATACACTAGAAGGGGTCAGGCTTCATTTAAGCAGATAATTTGTCAGAAACTGGAGCCAAATCTTACTTGTGGTGTGAGAGGGAGAAAAAGAGAAATCAAAACTCAGGTTAGAAAACTCAGATGAACTGTGGCAGATGTGACCTCAAATCTGTATCATGTTTCAGAGCATAATGCTATACTGTGTCTCAATCAGACCATGTAAGTATGCTAAGAGAAGGCGAAGAGATATTTCTGTTCTGACAGTCCTCTTCAGGACTGCAGTGTAAGGGCTCTGATCTCTGGGGTTCTGTCAATACTTAGGTGTTCTATCAATAGGAAACAGCTAGATGCTGAGAGAAGAAACTCAGGGTAAAATACAGCACAATGAGAAGCGGGACTTTTAAACCAATATGTGCCAATGCAAATGTGTTGCAGGCAGTAGATGAAAGGGTGATTTTAATTTCTCTGCATGGAGCTGCACTGTTTTATATAGACTCAACATCAGAACATAAATTGTTAAGAAATCAGTCAGGTACTTGAGATTGTGTTTAAGTGGTGGACTGAAGCGGGTAAAGAGACAGAAGCCTAACTACTTTTGTGATCCTATGTTTAGCTGTTAGCATATCTCACTTTCCCCCAGAGCAGCCCACATGATGCAGTAAATAAAATCTGAAATTCTTTTACTATAGCTAGGCTTTGTTATGATTGTGGGGTTTGTCTGTCATTAACTTCCTGCAAAATATATGGTCCCCTTCTGTTTTCACTTTCTTTATTTCTTTGGAAGCTATATGATGAGCTTAAAAGTTCAGAAAGGGTTTTGTTCCACCCTCAGGTTTTACAAGTAAGGAAAAATGCAGTAAATACACCATGAAGTCTGTGAGCTGTGTTAACACCAAAACTCTTCTTGTCATAAATCCTACTGTATGATGAAAAATTCAAGAGACAAAGAAAGGTATGTTGAGAACTCTTCTCTGGTACCTGGAATGCACCTGCTACCCCATAGCTGTGAGGGATTGAGCACAAGAGGACACAGCCTCAAGTTGTGCCAGAGGAGGCTCAAGTTGGACATCTGTCAGAATTTCTTCATGGAAAGGGTTGTCAAGCATTGAAATAGGCTGCCCAGGGAGATGATGGAGTCACCATCCCTGGAGGTGTTCAGAAAACATAGACATGGCACTTAGTGCCATGGTCTAGTTGACAAGGTTTGATTGGTCAAAGGCTGGACTCAGTGATCTTGGAGGTCTTTTCCAACATAATGATCCTGTTATTCTGTGATCATGTCAGGCTGCCACAGAAGCTTTTGGTGGCCTCATCAAGTTGACTACACAAGAATTGTAGTTACTAGTCCATGTAATCCAAAATTCTCTTAACAAGTGAGGAATAATAATTCATTTGAAAACCTCACACCACTAGCGATATAGCAAAAACCAAGAAAGTTTTGTCTGTATGAGCTATATAGATGCATTCTCACAGCACCTTTTTTCCCTGTTTCAACATAAGATGCATTTTCAAAAGCCACTCAGTTTCATTTTGAATGAGTCTGATTTAGAGGCAGAGAATGTCCAAGTAGATGTTTGCTGACTCTATCTCTGTTCTGATGGAGAAGGGAGCAAAAGGGAACTTAACACTCACAAATAAGAAAAAGACTGAATATGACCTAGTGGTAAAGTCCAGCCAAAGACTCTGAATGGTTTACCTCTTGTACGGTGCAGCTTGATTTAGCTCTTTATAAAACCTGTCCAATGGAAAGCAATCTCAGGTATGAGGCAGTACTTTTGTGCAGAAAGGTGGCAAAGAAGCAGTATACAGAAATTTAAGAAGGAAGTGAAGCAATACAGAGAAAACTAAGAAGGAAGAAAAGAGAACAGTTACTCATTTAGGAAATGCCTGCTTGTTGAGAGGAGGAAAAAAAATTGTGCTAGACTAGCTGTCATTTTAGCCTAAATGACTGTTCAGAAGACAATTCTATAAGGCTTTGAAGAAAGTCCAAATCAAGCCTCCATTTTTTCTCCTAATTAGCCAGTCAGAACTAATCTTCCTGCTACACCTGCATGTTAACAGCACCAGCAGAGAACAGCTCAGGAGTAGGAGGATGCTCCTCTGCCCTTATCTCTGCATGTGAGCCCCTTGCTGCTATGAACTGCAGGCTAACAAGCACAAGTTGTGCCACAGGATGCACCATAAACTCTGGGATAACAGGCATAAGATATCAAGTGGACAGATAAAAACAATCCTAAATTTAACTTTCTCTCCAAAGCAACCCTTCTTTGCTATCAGAATACTACTACAGAATAGCATCAGCTAAATTGGCCTAAAGGATTTGTGGGGTTTCACATTCGTGATAGGCCTGTTGACAATATGCCTGTATAATCTGTCTTCGAATTATCACACAGAACTATAAATGACCTTTTTCTGCCAAAATAATGAGCTGAACATGGTTCTGAATGGTGTTTTTTTTAAAATCCAAAGTCTAATTTAGGAATATGCCCTTTTACTAGGATACTCTCTACCTCACAATTCTTCTCTAACAAGAAACACGGTTCTGAATTAGATCACAGGAAGGTGTAAATGTGTCTGATTATAAACCTATGGTAAAATGCAAAGAATAAATATAATGTACCTCCATAAAAGTGAACAAAATTGGCCCATATGTTAAACTGCTATGTAACTGATAATGCTTCTGATGTGTGTATTGTCAATTTTCCTATGTAATAGGAATTTTATGTTTCCATCTTTGCTTGCTGAGTAATTGTGAAAAGTTTTCTATGTAAATAAGGATGTATTGATAACAAAAAAAAATCTTGTTTCCAGTTGGATTAGCAATAATATATCACTATGCAACAGTATAATAAAAATTATGCCTTTATAGATACGGCTAAATTTTCATATTGTTGTAAAGTCATATAAAGAGTTTATTAAAGCTAGGCCAAGTCATTTTCAAACAGAGGAACATCTTGCAACATAAAAAAAATGAGGTAAGTTAAATTAATCTAACTTCCTTTTTAAGGGAAGGGGAGGAGGAGATAAAGTAAAACAAAAAAAACAGAAACAGCACAGGAATGGGTGGGAAACCAAGGATAATTTAGTATAAACTGGAAGGTGCAGGGAGAGACAAGACTGTAAATAAAAGGACAAAAAAATAAAGTTTAAAACTGTTGCACCAGTTAAACTTCAGCTCATTTTTGTGTATTCCTCTCTTAGTGTATAGCTCTAATGTATTATTCAGAGCAAGAAAATGAGCTAATTGTATAAAACCAAAACGGTTAAGTTAAGTGAAAAAAAAAAATTTGATATCATTAACCTTCACATGGTAACTTCACATACGTTCATTTTATACTTTTCCAAACCTTGGTAACAAATTTCACCGATTCTTTTTTAATCCAACACATAATACTTTACGATATACAGTAACAGCAGGACACAGATTAGATATTCTCCTTGGTGTTTCCTTAGCAGTCATGCTACAGCTGTGATGCTCCTTTCCCAGGGATGTAACTCTGTTGACGAAGCCAGATTTTTTTTTTCCCACAGCTAAGTATCTCTGTAATTTCCTTGTAAATATAGGATGGATACATGGACTGCCCTGAGACCTGGCTTGCTTCCTCACCAGCCCAAGCAACCTGACAGCGTGATCCTGGGTCTTGCCAGAGCTCCCCCTGCCCAGCCCATGAGAAGGGACATAATGGAGCGTGTTGGGTGACCTGGTATGTGACGGACATGCCTGTGCCCACAGCCACATGTGGGCTGTTGGGACTGTGGTGGCAATCCAAAGCAGGCAGAAGTCAGACAGTGGTAACTTGGCACCTGGTCTTTTAGAGCCTTATGGTTATAATGACTACAAACACCTCCACAGCACAGTTATAACAGAAAATTAATGAAGGCTGTTGTGAAATGCTTGGGGGCTGGTTTTTGGAGAAATGATTTGATGATAAGTAAACTAATTTTTCTTTCTGTTTTTACGGATTTTTTGAATTTGACCCACTTTTACCTTGAACTATGTAGATGCATAGGTTTGGGTTTCCAAAGGTACTTAAAATTAGGTGGCCAAATTTTATTGGAATTACATGAAAATAAATTTTTCTGCCGGGAAGCAAGGGAAGTTGTTCCCCATCATGACATCCTCACTGCTTGGCCTCTAGTGATCGTTTTCCCTTAGGGTTCTTTCAGAGCCAATTGTGGATCCAGAGAAGTCCTCAGGCCAAACAGACAATTCCAAAAAAAAGGCAGTAAACAGGGTAGGTGTAAATTGTTACAATTTTGATAGGATTCTACTCTTTTTTTCCTGTATTCTGCATTTGGCACAATGGCTACTCCCAATTCAAAGCAGTGGGATGGCTTAGTCTTAATACAGAAGATGTGCAGCAAAGGGGACTGATTTGAAAAATATTTAAAGACTCTAACTTTCCAAGCCTGAATGAAAGCTGAAATGCCGATAATTTTCACGAAGTCTAGAAAAAATATAATTTCTAGTGAATTAAAATATTTAATTTTGATTTTTGAATGTCAAACTTACTTTTGAAATATAGATTGACCTTCTGCAACAAAATATCACTTTAAAAATATCAATACCTTTCCAAAGTTTTGTTCCAAACTGTTGATGTGAGACACTTTGATGAGTCAGAATACTTTCTCTAATTTCCTGTTGGAAATGAATTATAGCAAAACAGATCTGATCTCATGTGCTTGTTTCAAAGGAAATGCACAGATGGTGTATGGTTCTGGTGAATGATTCTGTTGAAGTCTATGAATACATCTAATAAATACAACATCACTAAGTCTAGCATTGCTAACTTGAAGCTGTACCTTCAAAAGTAGATGCATTTTAGTCATTACAGATCAATTAAATCAGAAAAATATAAACAACCTATATGTTACCTCTTCTCCTTCTTCAATATGATAATCCTTCCTTTCATTTGGCCCTCCAACAAACATCACATTTAATTGATAGCGATGCCTAGAAAAGAAAGTGACATTTTAAAGCTACCTCTATTCATGATGTTATTTTTTTAACTTATTTTTAAAAATTCTATTAGGACAGTGAGTCAAGGAAACAATGCTGAGTGAAAAGCAACATCCAGAATGAGAATTCAAAAGAGCTTGGATGCATCTCTCTACTCTGTTACTGTCCTGTTGGGTGATTTGAGGCCAGCTACCTCCCTGATGGTGTTTTAGTGCCTCCAGATATGAAAAGAGGACAACAACAGCTACCAACTGTGGAAAGGACTATGAAATGTAAAGATAAAGAATGCTACCTAAGAGACAGGAAAGAGGAAAATGGATCTTTGCCTTGAGCTGATTATGTAAAGACAAAACTCTTTTAGAAGTTAATAAAGTAAAAACACATTTTTCCCCCATAGCGGTAGAATTACCAGAGATACTGATGGTAGCAATTATCAGTTAATTTCTCTTCTATTTGTACTGATTTTGCTAACCTGGAACAATGTTACAATAGTTTCAGTGGGGTTGTGGCTAATTCAGAAAGGAGATTCCAGGCCCCTTCTTAACTCTACCTCTTTAAGAGCCCCAGTGAGCCCTTCTCTCAGCTGTCACAAAGAATAGCTATCACCCCAATTACCTATCAGACCATTTACACTAATAAAGAGGTAAGGTAACAGGTTTTCCTTTGCTAAGAAAAACTCTAAATCAGGACTGTTAGCTGGGATTCAAAATTTGTTCTTATGTCTTATTATGGTAAGCATCATATTCTGAATCCAGAAGAAGAGCTTTAGAAATACCTGTAAAAATCAACTATGTCAAAAGTTTTGATTTTACGCTAACTTCTCTTTGTTGAGGTTAAAAAGCATTTAAACTTGTAAGATTAGTACAAATAATTAAAATACAACATAAGAGCCGCAATTTAATTAGATGTATCCTTTTCTTGACTTTGGTAAAACTCTAAACAGGCAGTGCTTCAGGAATTGAAGTTTTTTTTTGAAAACCCAAATCAGCATTCAAAAATTTTGATTTTCTCGAGTGTATGGAACATAACTTAATAAAAGCTTGAAAGCCATAATAACTTTAGACACTCAACTTAAGACACACTAGTGATTTGCCGTGAGACCTAGTTTTTAACTTTTAATTCTTTCTTAAAACATAGGATTTTAAGTTACTTAAATGTTTTGAGGTGGTTGCCTTCCAGTGAGGCAGTAGGTGGCAGTGAGAAGGTTGCCTTGCAAATCTTTACTCAGCACATAAAGGATGAAGCCTTTAAAAAAATGTTGGAAATCTATTAATTTCTTCTTGGAAAATTGCCCAAAACTTTTTGGAAAATCCTGAAAATATTAGGTAGCACCAGAAGCAGGTGATGAGAGACTCAGAATCCATGCAGTAGATGGTTTTTCTCTCCTCCTATATAGGCTAAGGTTATATTGGAAAAATGGATTTTTTTTTTAAAGCTATGCAATTTTTATCACAAAAAATGTTTCTTGTTTCACTGTGGCTTCTTGCAGTGCTTCTGGGGAAGGCTATTGATAGATGTCACATTCCAAAGCTACTTAAGGATTACACAGAACTTCTGGTAGGTGCTACAGTGCAGTAATAACAAAAAAGGTTCAACCTACTGATAAAGAAAGAAATTAAAATACTAAAATTTTACCACTGTCATTGGTAAGCTTTAGAAATGGATACGCTTTACAAAATCCTTCTAATCCATTTTGAAAATGAAAGGAATGAAAACACCCATAACAAGAAGATAATTTCCTCATTCTCTCCAATTGTGAAACTATTGCAGTGATTCAAGTTTCACAATTTTTCAGTTCAACATACAACTGTAGTCTCAACACAGACATGACAGTAGGGATGTGCCCCGTACCTTTTCTTTGCCTTGCAACCATTGCTTTGAAAAGTAACCCTTGCACCTGTGAATGGAAATTAATATCATCGCTACAGAATTGCCCATTCAGCTTTTCATTAAAGATAGCACTTCAGGGTAGGGCAAGAGGCATATTCTTTGATATTTCTTTAATGGTTAAAATTATAAAGCAGGATTATTATTTTAATTAGAGTTAAGAAAAATCCTTTTTAATTTCTTTATAAAATCTGAGTCTATATTACTCTTTACAGAGGATACTTTCTAATGAAGCCTCTTGTATACAGAGTTTTAGACAAAAGATGCCCTCAGCTTCACTGAAAAAAGAAATCCTTCCTAATGTTTTGACTAGAAGGTGCAATACAATGGACAATTTACACTGGAATTTATGCACAAGCTTTGACATTGAGAATATGCATAGTGTACAAGTGTGTAATACTCACACTTTTTCTCTTATATTACCTATCTCATTCAGAATACAGTCCATAGCTTTTAAACTGCCTCTTCAGCCTCCCCTACCCTCCTGACATTGCTGGAAATGCCTTGGAAACCTGCTCCTCCAGTGCCCTTACTGTTCCTTTCTCCTTGTTTTCAGCGATATATACCGATGGTTATGATTACTCCTGCAGCTTTGGCTCCTCTGTGATGTTGGAATGATTCTCAGCAGCTCTATCAGGTTATAACTTAGTAGCACTAATCTGTTAGCTATATCTTATTGTTTGTTGGATGTGATGCCATCTCCTCTGATTTCTAGTTTACTGTCACAGAGCCTGACACAAATGCTCTTAACTCAGTCTCACTGCCTACGAGAGACTTCGAGTTGAGGCAAGTAGCTTGTATTGAAGTTGATCTTTGCAGCTTCTGCTGAGTCACTACAAAACAGACTTCAGCCACTATCAGTTCTTCAAAACAGCATTCTGACTGCAGTCTGATGAGGAACTATGGTTCCTTAATAATCTTTACCATGTTATGCATTTTTGCCGCTTCCTCTTATAGCTAGAAATATTTATATATCTAATAACTTAGTAAAAGAAATCTTCATTTACTTACATAAGCTTATTGCAAACAGGTGGCAAAAAGGCAGTTTTGTTTTCTTCTATCCATTTGTTCACATTCACAAGAAGCTCCATGGTCCACCAGCTATGAAACTTTTGACTGAGATATTAGAGTTTGCAGAATGCTCTTCCTGTGAGCAAACAGCATGTGATTCCACCCCCAGTGCTTAGGGATTGGCTGGCAGTAGAGGTGTCTTCAGGCTTCAGTGTCAAAGGGGACAGGTCCATCAGCCAAAGGTTATTTTGTAGAGTACTAATTCTCCAGCAGCTTAGCTAATAATTGACTAGTGTTTCTAAAATATGTATTTTCATTGGAGACTGTTTTTTGCCCACAGGAGGTTTCTTGATTGTCTTTACTGCATCAACTGGGGTGTGTATGTTACCTCTCTACAAAAATTGCCTTGTTACACAGTGAGAAAAATGTGCAAAGCTTGGACCTCCCTGGGATCTTCTGCCAAATAACCAAAGTACAGATGTCTCCTGCATTTTTAAGACCAAAGGCAGCTGTCCATAAATGCTCATTTTAATTTGATCGCTCTGTGCCAATGTTGTAGCAGGACTTGTTGGAGAGCTGAACCTGGTTCTGTGATGCCCTTTGGGAAAGTGCAGCATATTGCCATCAAATTGTAAAGGCAAACAAGAAACTGAGAAGTACTGGGCATCTCATATCTGTATTAGTCTTTATTCCCTCACTAGTTTCTGTTCAATGCCTACACAGTTGCTACAGGACTGCTCACTGTGTTCCCCACCACCCAGAATTTTTTTAATAAGCAAATGTATAAACATTTTTTTCAAACTCCAAACATGTGAAATGGGTGGTAAACAAAAAACCCCAAGACATTACAATATTGTAGCACTTTGGTCTTGACATAGCTTAGTCTTCTGCTTATATCTACACTGTGCGTAGTGGGTGAATGTGTCTGGGTATATGGCTGTAATACGATTTGGTTAAAAGTGAGTGGTGCATCCTCCGTGGTTTGCACATATGGGCAGTACAGCTATGGGACTGAAGAGTCAGCATGCTGAACAGTACGAATCTGGGAGATCTTTACCTTACACCATAGTAATTTTGCATGGAAAAAAGCAAGGGAGTATAAATTTGAATTAATATTATGCACTTATTCAAGTATGTGATTCTGTTTTACCTTCATCTCTACCACTTCTTTGCAGGTTAGTTTAAACTCATCTTGTAACTGATAAAAAATACATTAATTTTGGGATAAAAAGATCCACATGTGGATTACAGTTCAACTGTATTAGTACAATCACAATGGGACTGGCAATAATTTCCTCTGAAATAAGCCCAAAGTAATTATTATTTCATTCAATTATAAAACACCACCACCACATTATTTATTTAAAACAAGAAATTTCTACCAACAGAATGGCTGTGGTGAGACACCAGCATACAAGAAACTCGTTAGGCCTGTTTCTGGACTTACAGATAGGTATATTTTGATATTTTTTGTTCTGTAGGCTGCTGGCAAACTATTTAGCTGTGACAGAAAGAGAGCTTATATTTAAAATGCACTTTCACTTAAAGGATTATGACCCAGCCTCATGGGACTGGAGAACTGAAGACACTCTATCTTAACGATCACGGTTTTGTAAGGTTTTACCTCATCATTAGTAACAGGTATCACAGAGCAGGACTTCATTTGTTGGGCATGAAAGCCAAGGTACTGTACAAAGTCACAATACGAAAACCTACAGATCCTGGAATTGATTGAGCTAATCCTTTATCACCACACTATTACTGTGCCAGTTTTAATGGTGGGCTATTGTCCACAACCCCTACTTTAATCCCTAGTCTCCACTTTTTTTCCACCAGGCAGAATACAAGCTACTATTACCTGCAGAGAAAACTTTCTCAGTCACAGGCTGATAAATCCATTTTGTGGCTGGAGTGAGGTAGGAAAACCTAGACCTACTCAGGAAGGAAACAACATGGACTTACAAAATTCACCATTAGCATGATGCTGAGGCTATTATTACAGGGTAGTATTTTCTGCAACATTCTGAAATCAATAGGTTTTGAAAAATGCAGTTAATGGCCTCTTCATGCATGTAACAGTGGGGCTAAGAAATTATCTGCATGGCAGGAAAGTACTGGGCCATGAAATGCTACTTCTGTGAAGTGTATTGGAGAGCCAAAGAAAAGAACCAGTGTTGCATCTCTGTGAGACCCGGGTAAATACACCTCATACGCTGCATGAACTGACTGGGGCCTGGATTTTTCTTGCTAGTCTGCTTCACAATGACTCTTCACATCCATCAAAGCCTGTTTCAGCTGCTGGGGTTTCTGTTCTACCATTTGGCTCAGATCCTTCCCTTTCTGTAAAGGTAAGGACTCTATTTGTCAGCTTTCACTGCCAGAGAATTGCAACAGTACTGAAGCACAAAACTGCTACATCAAAATAATCCATCTTTTGCATTGAGGGTGCAGGAAAGAAATGTTAAGTGAAAAAAACCCTGAGTTTAAGACAACACCTACTTTATTTTTCTACTTTCCTCAAACACCAGACCTACTAGAGACTTAAATTTACAAGTTGGTGTCCAGCAAGCAGGATATGTTAATAAAAAGCAAAATTAAATATTGTGTTTCTAGTTAGAAGGAGTATTAAGGCCAGGGGTCACTGGCCAGGATTTTTATCTGTATTAAAGTGGTATCTGGTCATATACTTTTTTTAACTATACTCCCTATACTAATTTTTTTTTGTTCACCTAAAGAAGGTGCTAAAGACCTAGAATTGTTTAGAGCCCCTGGGAACAGGAGGGGGAAACAGACCATAAAGCCAGCAAGTGTGGATACTGCCTCCTCCACTCAGCCCATTCTACTCTTGAGCAAACAGCATTGCGAAAATTGGCTCTTAAACCTTGTTTTTTTTCACACTTAGTGCAAAGAAGTATTCTGAAAAATCTTCACCAGGGGAGGTTTACATTTGCCAGCAATTTGAAGATAAAAATCCTTTCAGTATCGTTTCAACTTGGCCGTTCTGTCCCTGTGCAATACCAAGACTGATTTATCTATGCTGGTGTTAAAAAAATGGAGCTACACTGAAGTGATAATCTGGACATTCTGCAAGCAGTAGGAAGCAAGCAACTTTCTTCACCATTAAGACAGCTTTAACTTCTGTTTTTTATCTTTATTTTTTTTCCTTCTGTTAGTATTGCAAAGAAATGAAAAAGGAAGACATTTATATGACTAAATAATTATTTTCAGCCAGTTGAATACACTTCCTATTTTTGGTCAATTCTGTGCTTTTTTTGTTTGATCTTTGAGAACAAACACAAATTAAGTACTTAAAAATAAAATTATTTATATTAAAAAAATCCTATATAGTTGCTGAAAACAAAAATTCCAGTCAATAACAAATTTATTACTTGAACCCCTGTCCAGTTATGTTCCCACAAAGTGATACGGCTAAATTTCACTGCTATATTTGTAAACATACTACCAAGGGCCTCAGTTTGTGGGGACAAACATAAGAAACAAGTGATTCACGTAGGACAACAGAATAATTAAAGATCCCAGTAAAACTACTAGAATCTTCACCATTATCACTGTTACTTTTATGGGAAAGCTGATTAGTATACAACAAGCAATAATTATCATCTCTATAAATACTAAAATTAGAGTCTTTCTTGCCTAAGGTTAAATCTGCAATAAAGAGCTTCTCTGTATGTTCACAGCTTCAGCTTTGAGTCTTTCTGGCATTCTTGTATTTGCCAAAAAAGCCCTTGTTTGGATGAAATTATGTTCACAGCAATCTTTGTGTGGTATAGAACATTTTGTTAGTATAGTGATGCACTGTTAAGGGCAATGAAAGCTGCTGCAGTTTTCTGGTATGCCAACTAAATGTGATGATGGAAAATGTCTTTAAGAAATGAACTGTCGGTTTTCTCTTTTCTCCATGCCAGCCACCTTCATCAAGGGCCAGATACAGTAATTGCATGCTACTTCACCTGTCAGTGGTGCATACCACCGAAATATTACAAATATATTTTAGGTAATGCCCACAGTAATACCAACAGCAAAACAACTTTCTTGACAAGTGAGATACAACTCCTCTCCATTCAAAGCAGTCTTAAAAAAGTGTCAGCTCATTTATGGATTGTGGAGGGGAGGAGTTAACGGAGTCACACAAAACTGCTCAGTCTGCCAAAAGTACCTGGGAGATCCATGAAATTTACTTAAACTGGCTGAGTGCCTGACACCTCCTGCTGGGCCACCAATAGTTCATTTTTAGAAGCCATGGAAATCCAAGCCCTGTGTAGCACTTTCTACAACCATCCATCCTGTAATGAAATTCCCAGAGCTTGTTCCTTTGCCCACGGTAAAGTCACTGCAGAAAGGAAAACACTATGTAGTGCTTAAGTCAGTAACACAACAGAGCAGTCTAGGGAAGTAAATATGGCAGCAACGTAAATGTTTCCACGAGTGCAAAGAAAAATATGTCTGTCTCAACTGTGTGTTGGAGCATTGCTTGGATTTAATTATCTTCTGGTGCCAATTGTGTTTACCATCTTCTTGCCACATAAAGCTAACATAGATCTGACTGTAAAATAAATTCATGTTATATGTATACTTTGACAATAAACGTGTAGGGTTGAATAAACACTTGTTTTGAAAGTGCCAGGCATCCTTGGTGCCGCACACAGCACGCAGGCTGCAGAGCCCCGGAGCGCGCAGGCAGCGATGCTACAGATATCGTCATTTAGCTCCCTGGCAGTAGCCGGATGTTTTTCTCAGCTGCCCGGGCCTCAGCACGACGGACGGTGCATTTTCTCCCCACGGCTGCAGATGAGCGCGAGGCTGAACTGGGCTGACCCAGCGGCCAGTGCCTTTTGCCCAAGGGCGTCAGGAGTCCCGGACTCGCACCACCCGGGGCAGCGGCCTGTCTGCCTCGCCTCCGGAGCGCGGCACTGCGTGGGAGCGCCAGCAGCCCGGGGCTGGCAGGGGTCGGCCAGGTCACTGCCGCTGCCCCCCCGACACCTGCTGCCGCCACGGCCGCGTCAACCCCGACGAAGGACACCGCGCTCCCCGCCCCGCCCCGCTCGGCGGCCCCGCCCGCGCGGCGCAGGGGGCCGGGCTGTGCCCGCCGGCCCTGGGGCCGCCCTGTCCGCCCAGCGCGGAGCTCGGGGCGGAGGTGTTTTTCCGGAGCTGCAGCTTGTCTCCTCCCTGTCGTGCTCGGCGGCGCCGCCTGCCCCGAGCGGCGCAGCGCCCGACAGCTCCTCGCTCAGCTTTCCCCGCCGCTGTTCGGCCCCTAAGGACAGGAGCGCAGCCCGGGCAGGGCAGAGAGGTGCCCCAAGGCCGCCCCCCAGAACAGGGTGCGGGCGCGTGTGCGCCCTTCCCCCGCCGGGGCCCGGGGAGCCCTTGATAAAGCGTTCGGGAGGCGATGGTGTCAGGGCTCCAGTGGCGCAATCGGTTAGCGCGCGGTACTTATACAGCAGTACAAAGCCGAGCAATGCCGAGGTTGTGAGTTCGAGCCTCACCTGGAGCACACAGCTTTTTGGGAGGGAAAGCGGGCTTTTTTGGGACTTGGCGGCGCTCCGGAGGGAGGAAGACAAAGGCGAAGGGAAAAATTATGCAGCCGTGGCGGCAGCGAAGACCCGCTGGAGAGGGGCACTCAGCACCCTGGGAAGTGGCTGGGGCTGGTCCCGCCGCGAGCGACGGCGGGGGGCGCGCAATGGCAGCTTGGGCACGGGTGTGTTTGGCTTCAGGAACACGGCCTCACTGAGGCTTGTAGGTTTGGCTTGTTCAGAGCAGCGTGTAAAAAACGTGTTCCTGGTAAGAGCTGCTTGGGAGTGAGAACTCGCAGGAAACAGGGGTTATTTTATACGGTGTTGTTTAATACGGAGCGCAAGTAAACACTTGACTGGTGCGATCACTACAGCTGAAGGGTGACAACACCTCCCCCTTTTGCCTGCTTTGTCGATGACAGATCTTTTCTCATTACCTCAGTAATGCTTTACAAATGTGTGGGCAACAACAGGAAGGAAAATAATTAAAATAATTTCTGATTTCACCATATAAGAAAGGCAGCAGGGCCGTGGGAGAAAGGGCAGCTTCCTGACAGAGGTTGGGGAAAGCTGCCTGAATGTTTAGGCCCAGATCTTGTGAAGTCACCTCTATGTTAACATCTAGTTTGCTGCTTTTGCAGTGCAATTTATATCAAAAAGTTCAGTGAGGTTCTCAAGATCATGCAGCCAGAGGTGCCTTGATTGCCCAAATCAGCCCTTTAGCATCTGTACTGCAGGCGTTAAGTCCCTGAAGTGCCACTTTCAGGTTTTTAACTACCACTTCTCTGTTCTAGTTACGGTTTTATCCCTTTTGAATTTTGCATTAACTTCTCTGATTTCAGTGCCGGCGCAGTGATGCCTGAAGCGTGCACCATATCAAGATAAGGAAGTCTAAGTCAACAACAGAGATCTGTAATGTATCAAAGAGTGAATAAAGTCCATCTTCTGCTTGCAGGGTTTCGCATTTTCTTCATCCTGCAGGATATCCATTTCCCAGTGCTGAGGAGTACAGACAGTACAGAGGAGTATTTGCAGAGGTACTGGAAGTACTAGAAAATGAAAATGCTGCTTCTGTGTACCTGGAGGAAAAAAGTCCACAAAAACCCTTAGTAGAGGGAAATAGATTCCATTTCCTGGACAGAGACCTCTCAGGAAACTTGAGTAGGGACAGTGCTGCTTGCTTTCCCCCTTCCCTGTTGTGTCTCCAGGAACACACAGCAGCTCCTGCACTCTCTCACAAGGAGGAACTGCAAGTTTAGCATTTGGGGTCTTGCTGTGGCATGCTAGGTGGGTGATTGTTTAATCTTTGCCACATTTAAGGTGCATGAAGCAGATGTTGCCTGTTCCCTCCACAGCTGTTTTGCAACGGGCCTCTGCAGTGCCAGAGAGCAGCCAGGACATGCAGTGGGAGCACATGGTGCTATGGCCTTCTCCACAAGATCTCCTTCATCACACTGGTCCTTACCTAGGCTTTTATCTGCCTTTTATCATCTGCCTGCAAGATGATTTTTGTCTTAACTCTGGAAAAAAAGTAAAAAGGGACAAAAATCCCTATGTGAGGTGACACTTGTTTGCATCCTGCCCCTACTGGTGGCCTGCTGTGCCTGACACCTGAGGGAAACATTTCAAGATGGGCATTTGACACTGGAAATCATGCTAAATCAGAGCAATTTATAGGGATTTACGAGAAATCCCTGTAAAATGAGAATGTTATTTGTCTAATAGGTGTTTACGATATGAAGTGAATCGATGCTAAAGCACGAGGGATTTGTGAGGGAGGTGGGGCTGTCAAGTAAGATGAGATAAGCCCTGTTGGAGTGGCACAGCTGGCAGTGGGTGCCTGGGCAGGGGTGTGCTGGGGTCTCCTCCTGCCCCAGCACATGGCAGTGCTGCTGTGGGGCTGGTGATGGGGAGGCTCCACAGATGCTGGGGAGGAAGGGTGTCGTGCTGGGTTGAGGTCAATGACTCTGCCTCATTTCCTTGGGAGCTGCTGTGGAGAGGGAGAGGATGTGAGCCCGGGTGCCCCTATGAGAGCAGCTGTGCTCAGGGAGGGCATGAGGCTTAGGCCTGGGCAGGATTTCTCCAGGGTGTGTGGGAAGCCTGTCCTTGTGCGGTGCTGAACTGGGCAGCCATGGTGCTGCTGGCATAACCTGAGCAGCTCTGATCGGGTGAAATGTGGAGTGACTGGGCCTGTTACTTGCATTTGCAACTTTTTCTCAAAAATTAGGTGTCTTACAGGCTTATGGAAAGAAAGTTTATGTCTTTATTATGCTAAATTGACTTTTTTATTGGGCTTTTTGGTCTTGCATTGTTGGTTATTGCTTTAATGCTAGTTGGTAGTGGCTTATATATACAAATGTGTGTGTATGTATGTATATCAAATACATGTATGCATAAAGACACCTATACAGCATTATGGGAGAGCTCTCAATTGTCTGTGTGTTAGTGCTCTCTTACTTTCTAAAGCTTTAATGGAGGCACATAGATTTGGAAAACACCTGTGTGTGAGGGATGCAAAGTGCCAGCTGCACTAGTGTGATCTACTGAGAGGTAATCTCTCCTTCCTCCTCTCTCGTCTTCCCCAGATAGTAAAGTTGTTCACCTGTGCCTCGTTTTAGCCAACTGCCAGAGCTTGTTCTCCCTGTGAGTCACTTCCCAGTGTTTATCACTGTCCTTGTAGATGGTAGCTGGGGGAGATGTGGCTTTAGTCTGGGGACTGCTGCCAACTGGCAAGGGGCTTGGATGGGCTGTGGCTGCTCCTGGAAGTGCATTCAGAAGGAAGGGCTTCCCCATGGTGAGTCTTCCATGCTGCCTGATTTATCTAGGGGCCTGCTTCTTCTAGCCTGTGCCATGGTCTCTATTTCTGTGTTAATTTGACTGGTGTGGATGGCATGCCCAAAGGCCTTTATCTCCCTAACTCCGCTGGAATCCCTCCAGAGTTCTTTTTAAAAAGTACTCTCTTCTTAAAATTTGTGTTGCTCTTCCTTTAATGTTGAACATGGACCATGTCTACTCTATAGGCTTTTTCTGGCTGCTCTGAGTTCCCACTGACTGTGGAAAGAAAGAGGGCCTGCTTGTAGACACAGAGAAACTTGATGTGCACTGCTTATTGATGGAAAGAGTATTTACAAAATGTAGCTATTACCTGATCTTGGAGAATTAATAACAATCAGGTTAGGTACCAGGGTTTGTGTTTATCCCTATATGATCTTGCTAAAACAGGGAGTCCCACTGGGTTGGGAGATATAGGAAAAGGAAAGACAGGCTCATACAGCATAGGCCTTCGACTTTCGTTTCCAGTAGTGGCAACTTTTGTTCTGGCATGTTAATACAGTTTTGGTGTTTGTGAGGCCCTTAAGGGTTTGCTTAACTTAAGTTTCTTTGACTGTAACAATCTGGAACTTTCCATAATGTTTGGGCTTGCATATCGTAACAAATGTCTATAAAAGCCTACGATAAGGACTTGGACCACCTAACTGTTACAAAACCGAAGTAATAAATTCTTCTAGTCCTTGCAAATAGTAAACAACCCAAAAGAGCCTGCTTTTACCAGCTTTTTCCAATAGATGGCACTGTGGTCCCACAGAGCAAGAAAGAAAACCCAAAGCAAAACATTCCCAGACATCCTAAAAATAGAAACCACTTGCCAAATGCTCCGTTGTGCAGAGAGCGAAGCAGAGAACAGCACAGAACAATAGGCCAAAATTCCAAGGGTTGCTTAGAAAACAAAGCGCACTGGAGGTATAGATTCATTTTAGTTTTGTTTTGGGTTCCACCATCACCTCTGTATGCAACATCTTGAGGACCTTTCTGAAGTTAAAGTCTGTTGATATTGCTTGGAATACCAGAGGTGAATGGCCTGTGTCCTGTGTTTTAAGTTTGTATGAATTCAGTAGTGTGCCAAAGTGCCAGTGTAGCAGGCCTGACTTAGATTCTCTTAAATGAATTTTTTGAAGAATAGCTGGTGTTAAAGGCTTTTGTGCAGGTCTCCCTAAAGTCCAGGTGGCTGCTTTCCACTGCGGGTGCCCCTGCTATGGAGGTATTAGGCTTGGAAACAGTAGCTGGCAGGAGAGGAATGAAGTGTAGGTGTTTGCAGATTGTGTGGAAGAGCACTTTGAAGCCAAACAGAAATACACTACTTCTGTGAGGAGAAAGATAAGATAAGAATGGGGAGGAAAGGGGGGAAAAAAAAAAAAAAGAAGTCAGATGTTCAGAAGGAAACCTCCTTGGGGAAGAGAAGGGCTGAGAGATAAAGGGGACAGTGGGGCTGATACAAGCCGGCAGAAGGAGGACAAGTGGGAAGAACTTGTAAGGGGAGTAGAAAAGCAAGCTCACAAAAAGAAAGTAAAGGAGGGGACAGAGAGAGAGACAGCTAGAAAAACATAGCTAAGGAAGCTTTAAAAAAATTTAAAGAATCATTCTCTCTGGTTGTAACTGTATGAATGTGCTATTTATGAGTAAGTGAAAAATAAATGAGTAAGTATTAGCTAGTCAAGCCATCCTAAGATGAAGTTGCTGTAGAAAGCAAATTGGCCTTTATGTTTTGCTTGAGCAAAGAGAGATCTCAAGAGGCAGGTTTTTCTTCTGTGTGTTTTGAGTGGTTACTTTAGTGTGGCAATATAAGAGACCCCTTGGTCTCTCTAGGGTTTGAAGCTGGTGTTGGGAGGGTTAGAGAGCTCAGCTTTCTGGTTTGGAAAAGGAAGGAAATGGACAATCAGTACTGCATTTTGTGCCTATTTAATTTTCTTGCTTATGCTGAGTTTGCTGTTTTAGTCTCTGCTTTTAAGGTGGAAAAAGACTCTTGGTTTCTTGAAATAGTTTTGGTACAGCCTAAATATTTGAGACCTTGGAAAAGTCTCAAAATACAGCAAAACAAACTAAACGAAACCCAAAGGAAGAACAAGCTGGGGAAGTGGCTGAAATGGAAGGAGATAGTCAGAGAGTCTGTAATTACAAATTTTGAGGAAGAGATGCTCACTTGAAGTAGGCAATTGAGCCTGTAGTGACTACTTTAGTTCAGAGATCTCTATACATGGGGTAGCAGATTTATGGTATTGTGAAGAAATACTTCTACTACTTTTACTATGTGTATAATAATATATGCATATGAAGACTGTGGAAGAGGATAAAGCAGTAGCTTTAAAACGTTTGTCTTCTGAAAATTTGGTGTCAAATTTTTAAGAGGCAGTTGTGCTGGAGGTCGTGTGGCTGTATGGTGGTTTTCTGGTTTCGTGAAGGAAGGCTGTCAATCCATAAACATGAGCATTCAAAATCACTTGCAAGGTTTCAGAGTCAGTTGACTTCACTGCTTGCATTTATTTTCCATTTATCTTACCTATTGAAATGGGGATGAAAGTTGGTTAGCTGTACATCTTAAGTTTAGGCACTTCTAAACATGCTGATGAAAAAAAAAGTTTAAAGAAGGATATACATTATCTTTATGGAAAGTCACCTCATAGTTATGCCAGAACATTTAAAAGCCATTTAATATTAAAAAACTGTTAATAATGAAAGTTTATGTAGCTTTGTCAGTGAGCTGTAATTTTTTCTTTTGTACATTGTTGCATCACATGGAAGTTAAAATATGTCCATCTCAGGCTTTAGGGGAGTTTTGAGGGTGCTTTCAGCCAAGATGAGGTAGAGGGTGTCTGTACTAAGTACCTGGATCCAGGGTTGGGAAGTTAATTTCTTGTGTGCTCTGGGCTGCTCTGCATTTCTCTCTACTGACCTTGCTTCTGCCCCACCTTCCACCTCAAAAGATATTTCAAAAGATAAAGGGTTGCCTTGAAGCTGGCACCATTTTAGGGAAGGTGGGAAGAACCCATTCAGATGCTTCCCTCCCCACCTGCATTTCCACATCCTTCCAGCTGCCTCCTGAGGGTTTCAGCTTGTCTCCACTTTGGTCAAGTGGTGCTAAGGGTTTTACACTGCAACACAAGGTCCGCAC